CACAACACCAGAGTCACCACGCTCGGTGCTGAAGCATTTCCTGTGTATACTATTACAACCTTTTTTTTTGTTCTCACCATCTCACCTTCCGGGCCCTTTTCCTCGCATTCCGTTTTATCTCCAGTCTTCCTTCCCTTCTGCAACCCGTGCCCCTTGCCTTGCCCACAGGCAGCGACGCCTCCCTACCCCACCCGGGCATGTTACCAAGCCTGGCGGAAGTGGCCGAGGCAGTCAAAACACCGAGGGGGGAAAAATTGTGCCTTTTTCTCACTCCCGCGAGCCTGTGACAACACCAGACGCTCCAACTCTCACCATGCAAGCCCTCCTCGACAGCCTCAACGGTCTAGATCAGTCTCATCCAGCCCCTTCCTCACGCCTAACGTCTTTCCAGACACATTCAATACTGTTACTATGATAGTGTTTTCACTCACAGGGTGAGTGACGCGTCCCAGTGACCCCAGTGACGCGGTGAGTGACACTTCCCTCTACAAGCAGAGTTAATAATAATAATAATAACAACAAGGTAAAACACTCTTCCCTTCGAGGGGCTGTCTGCACTTGGGCCTCCCACTCGCACGAGTGCTTTACAAGCGCCATGACAACGATTTGAAAGCAAGACACGACACTGACATGATGTGAACGTGACTGATATGGCGTGACACAAGTGATATAACATTAGCGTGACACTAAGCCATAACGCTGACATAACTGAGGCATATGACGGGGGGGAATATGATGATCAATTTAAGATACACGTGTACATTACTGTGCATTAATACTAAGAATACGAGAGAGAGAGAGGGAGGGAGAGAGAGAGAGAGAGAGAGAGAGAGAGAGAGAGAGAGAGAGAGAGAGAGAGAGAGAGAGAGAGAGAGAGAGAGAGAGAGAGAGAGAATATACCTTTCAATCACTCAAGAGGCAGGGTAGCAACAGACCCACGAATAGGTTGACGCAATACAGTAATTCCGGCACCATGGGCGGGGGGGGGGGAATAGGGGGAGGGGGGAACAGCCAATCATAACAACAACAAACTATCAGGTGGCCAAGAGTAAGCCCAGCTTCTGTCATCATGGACGAGTGCAGCTTGTAACGTCTAGGTATAATGAGCCATACTTTCCTGCGTGTGTGTAGCTATTGGCATCAGTGGTGTCCACTATATCCAGACTCCGCTACTGACCCGAGGATCACCTGGACTTTAAAACACAGTGCACTGTATCTAATGCCGCACTGTTTACAGTGACACTGTATGCAAGTAGCGTTAATTCTCACTAGTTAAGTATCGCTGTATTAAGGCTTAAGTATCTGTTTAAGCACCACTGCAATTATCACAGCATTAAAGCACTGCTGTATTAAGCACCACTGTATTTAAGTATAACTGTATTTAAGCACTGCTGTATTCAAGCTCCAATGTATTTAAGCATCATTGTTTAAACACCACTGTATTCAACACCCTAGGTAGCACTAGAAGCAACACAGAACTCAACACTGCAAACAACTTATTTGCTTAAAATAACACTCACGAAACACTGTATTTCCTTGACACCTTAATTATGTAACAATGCTCAGCAACAGTAGAGCTTGGTTTGAATAACAATTATTTAAGAAGCATCAGCTTAAGTAACACCCACTTGAAAAAGCACTAATTTAAGTAACACTTGTGTGATGTAACACCCGTTTCAATAGCACCAGTTTCAAACACTGTTGTATTCTGAATAACATTGAATCATCACAAAGAGGCACTTTTATGTTTCAGTATCAAGTACATATATAGTTACAACACTGTTTCACTAAAGTAGCATAACACAGTCACTGTATTTTACAACACATCGAACACTTTATGTAGCATACATAAATCTGTGTATCTATGTATTTACGTATGTAGCTTAGCCTAGCATTTTAAAAGCACTACAATCACCTTCTGTGGTTGATTGTTCAATAAATCTCTGAATTGTATGTTTGACAAATCTCTCACACTGTCCATGGAGGACAGAAGAAAATGTATATATGCTGGTTAGCATTGTTAATGTGTGGCCACGTCTGTGGTAGAAAATAATAATAAGAAAAACTGTATTTTACAACCGTGCAAATAAAACACTCGAAAGTGACATTTGAACACACTCACAAGGGCCGTGACGAGGATTCGAACCTACGTCCGAGAGGATCCCAGACGCGTCCTTAATCGTAGTGACAACATTTTCCACAATAACAATATTTTCAATTGAGAAACAGAAGTATCTGTTCCAGCCTCCTCTTCCTCCAACGCAGTAGTCTACCCTCACATATTACAAAACTTTAATAAGCTTTACATCCAAATATAAAAAAGTGTGTATAGTGTAAATCAAAGAGTGGTAGACCGAGTTTTCCTCGCCACTGCAGACGAGGTGACATGTTCACTACGTGTAAAGTATCGAGAGGTACCTTGAATGAAGGTACCCTTCATTCAAGATGAAGATGAAGGAACATCCTTCATTGGATGAAGTATTTACACATATTTTCTCGATGAAGAAACACAGAACGAAAATGGAAACACAAATAAATTGAAGAAACATAAGAATAAATTAACCTAAAACCGAAGTTGAGGAAATTACCTCGGAATATAACTTGAAGGGACAATATCTTCCAGGTGTGGCTCCTCAAACTAGATCTCGCTGCTACAGACACGGTTTGGCACGCCATTCTAACTTCATCATAGTATTTTCCCCTTGACTATTCCCCCCATCACCATGTTCTTCAACTACTCTCCTCCCACAAGATATCAATCAATTCAATTTCTAACGGAGATTGAATTCGTCTCCCTTCCCCTTACCTCAACACAGTCCGCTTTCTTTAACCCTTTGTCGAAATTACCGTTCTCTTCCCTACACAAGAAATCTATTTAAACTATCCCAGTCCAAAGCTAATGTGTTGGAGATCTTAGCGGGCGGGTGAAAACGCGATATTTAAGATGCCGTGTGTTGCCTCCAGGCTTACCATAAGGAAGATAGGTCGCCCCCCATCTGGGCAAGGACCCACCCCCCTCCCCCCAAGGCTGTCTATAAAGAAGGCGGGTCACCCGCTATTTAGGATACCCATAACTCGGGATAAAGATCTGGAATCCTGCCACTAGCTAAAACCAAGTTTCTCATTAGCCATCGGTGCAGGATGGGACCGAGCCCCGAGGGCCACATCCAAGTATCCACGATCGTATCTCCCAGCGGACCAGAATACTGTACTAACACAAGACTGTGAAGGCTGTTTGCCCCGTTCCTTAATAATCCCTGGTGTCCCGAAGACAGGTCTTAGTTACTCAACAGCGTCAGTGGCTGCGCTCTCTCTCTCTCTCTCTCTCTCTCTCTCTCCTCCATACCTTAATCCGTAAACGAGGGAGGATGTACGAAACCTGTACATCCTTCCTCGATTACGGCCAATAAAGACTGTATTTATTAAACAGTTTACAAGCTTCGAAACGCTGCACGAGTCATTCTTGGTCCAAGGTTGGTATTGTTATAAACAACCTCGTAGCTCATCCAACTCATAAACAGTTTAATAAATGCAAACGTAGCCACTAATGAGGCTATCATGCTAGAGGCTATCATGCTAGAGGCTATCATACGAGAGGCATGACAGCCTCTAGCATGCTAGAGGATGCTAGCATTCCTCACGTACACTTATGTTTTTCTCCCTAAACTCTCCCCTCAATTAACATGGGAGTCATACACACTGTTAAAGCCAAACTTCCTCTTTTGAGCACAACCAAGACTCACGTGGGTTTGTAAACACAGCCGCCAGCACCTGTTGGTCTTGGAGGCAGGAGGGCGAGGCAGAGTTAGTTACCAGTGCCCGGAATGTAAGGGGGGGGGGAGAGGCATGTGTGCACTCACTCACCACACATGCTTAACAGAGAGAGAGAGAGAGAGAGAGAGAGAGAGAGAGAGAGAGAGAGAGAGAGAGAGAGAGAGAGAGAGACCGGCAGGCCGGAGCCAACATTATCTCCACTACAGGACCATTGAGCACTCTCCTCTTCAACCCATTATGACTATCACCACCACACCTAAATATAACTCCCCCCCTCTCCCCTCCCCTCCCATAACTCTCCCCTGCACCACTCCTTCCCCCCCCCCCCACTCTGTCTATCCGTGACCTACCTTCCCCATTCTAACCTTGACCTCATCCTCCCTTCTCCTTACCAATCCTTCAACTCTCTCTCCCCTATCTTTACCGTTTCTCTTCCTTCGTCCTCCACCACCTCCCGGCTTCCTGTCACCCACAATCAGTTGCTACTCTCTTTCCACTTTAAGACAGACCATACAGCTTCACCCCATCCCCCCCATCTCCACCCCTCCCTATTATCCACTGCACTAGTGCCACTTGCAACCCATCCGTCAAGCCCATCATGGCTAATTTTAGAACCTATCCTCCCCCACCATATATATAATCCCCACCCACGACCCTCTTATATATATATATATATATATATATATATATATATATATATATATATATATATATATATATATATATATATATATATATAAATATTAAATATGACTGAAAAAGTAAGATTAATAATTCTAACACGAATTTTCTCAATATTTCTTATGGTTCTTTTCACTGTCGATGGTGAAAGACCAACGACAGTGAAAAGAACCATAAGAAATATTGAGAAAATTCGTGTTAGAATTATTAATCTTACTTTTTCGGTCATATTTAATAATATATGTCTACAGGAAAGACATATAATATACTATACTAATATATATATATATATATATATATATATATATATATATATATATATATATATATATATATATATATATATGATTTTTATATGCAGTTTTTATATGCAGTGTGCAGTGTGCCAGTGTATATATATATATATATTTTTACAGAAATGTGCATACACACAGCCACAGGCTTGCAAGCGGTGGTAAATATTTGTATAGTGAGGTCAAAATACTTATAAATAAATGTAGATACAGTTACAGACAAAATATAAAATGTGTAGAAAGCCTACTCACCTATCAACCACAAATTCGAACAAAGCAACAAGAATCGTCAACCACCATCGCATCAACCACCATCCACAACGCAGATATCACAGACGCGTTTGCTCACCTGAAAATGTTGAAAAAAAGAATTAAATATAATTGACAAAATATTCTTTAATATTAGTAGAGGTAAAAATGATTATAACCATACACTGCTTACTGCTAACACCAGTATTTTAACGGCTTATAAAACATATTTAACTGCTTAACTGCCTCATTACCGATTAACCTCCTCTCCGACACTATCCCTATATAAGTCGACAAAGGACGAAATATAGGGAATAATAGAGAGGGAAGGTAAAGAACAAATAAGAGAAAGAGAGAGAGAAAGAAAGAAAGAAAGAGAGAGAGAGAGAGAGAGAGAGAGAGAGAGAGAGAGAGAGAGAGAGAGAGAGAGAGAGAGAGAGAGAGAGAGAGAGAGAGAGAGAGAGAGAGAGAGAGAGAGAGAGAGAGAGAGAGAGAGAGAGAGAGAGAGAGAGAGAGAGAGAGAGAACAAGGGGTTGGGAGGGATGGGGAGGGGTGGGGAGGACAGAGACAATGGAAGACAAGGGGAGCCAAGCTGGAGTAATTGCTACCCGTGAGCAATGAGACCGTCTGTCTCTCAGTGGGAGGTGATGGCTAAGAAAGCCTTGAACGAAGGACGTGTGTGGTGGTGGTGCAGAGTGCGCTCTCGCCTCCATGTCGATTAAGCATACAATATAATTCTTCCGAGTCAGCATTGCCAGGAACAACAAGTAGAGCAAGCAGCAACACCAGAACATGCAGCAGCAGCAGAAACGGCATCAGCAGCAACAGATATAACCAGCAGCACAGCAACACACCCGGAACACGCATCACCAACACCACGAAAACAGCCAACCAAACGGCTAAAGACGGGCCCAACTCCGACAAACTCGGTCCCAATATATGCTTCCAAATTTGCCATTCCAAGTTCTTGATACAAGACTCCAGCAAGGACGCGGGCGTGTGCACGAAGGTGTGTGCACGAAGGTGGGGGCGTGTGCACGAAGGCGGGGGCGTGTGCACGAAGAAGGGGGGAGGGATTACAAGGCTACCAACACTGAGGGAAACGCAGTAAATGCTCTCGTGAACTACTGTAGAATGTGAAGCAGCTCGTCAGAGGTAACCAGCGACCGAGACCTAGTGAGTAAGCGAGCGAGCAAGAAGGTGAGTGTTTAATAAGCGAGCGAGCTAGCGGGTAAGGGGTTAAAAGCGAGCGAGCAAGCGAGTAAGGGGTTACTAAGCGAGCGAGCTAGCGGGTAAGGGGTTAATAAGCGAGCGAGCAAGAGGGTGAGTGGTTAGTAAGCGAGCGAGCTAGCGGGTGAGTGGTTACTAAGCGAGCTACTACATAAGCAAGAAGGTAATAGGTTGTATAAGAGTGGCTCAGACTGCTCGCTCAACAACCCAAGTCGACCAACTAAAGCTTATCACTAGAGCTCCGCCGCTCCTCTCCCTCTCTTGCTCACACTGGTCTTATCTAAATAATTACAGGAGGGAAGATGGGGATGGAAGGTGGGCGGAAGAGGAAAGAAGGGGAAGAATGGGAGAGATAGAGGGAGAACGGGAAGGAGGCACTGTAGATGTAGACTTTGTAAAAGATTTTGGTGAATGAGAGAGAGAGAGAGAGAGAGAGAGAGAGAGAGAGAGAGAGAGAGAGAGAGAGAGAGAGAGAGAGAGAGAGAGAGAGAGAGAGAGAGAGTGTGAGAGATAAACAGTTTTCCACTGACAAACAGTTGCCGTAGAGTTGATCATACGAGAAAGGTGGAATAATTTATTCAGTACTATTAATCCAAGGAAATGTCAGGTAATAAATCCCACCAGGATATTCTCCCCATCCCTCAAGACACCTGTACGAAGCCATGTATCCCACTGGGATATCCCACATGTAACCCATGTATCCACCCATGACACCTGCAGGTACCCAGCTGACAACCCCCCCCCCTCTCCCCCAAATCCCAGGCAATGATTACAAAAAAAAACTTGCGTTAAATGACCGTTTGTACAACAGTGTGAAAAATATGGCTAGTTCAGTGAGGGGAGAGAGAGGGGGAGGGGAGTTCTGAGGGGAGCTTACCGTGGGACGGAGAGCGGATGTGTGGGATGGGGAGGATGAGGAGGCGCCTTAGGGAGCCTCCCCATCCCATCCCCCTCATAATGAATAACCTTCAGACTTGCCTCATTAAAAATGAGTTACCGAGAACAACGCCAAATTTTTGAGAGGGCAAATTACCGAAAAAAGCCGCTGTGGCCACTATTTCTTGGTCTGGACATTATGCTGATACTTCGTTAGATAACGTACACGCACGCACGCACGCACGCGCACTAAAGATAACGAATCGTCTTCACTGTTGCTCTGGTCACTTGACCGTTCCTAGCTAAACCCAGTTGAGATCTACACACATTACTGCATTGGTAAACCACGATCTCATTTGCAGTAAGTCAAGAGAGAGAGTGAGTGAGTGAGTGAGTGAGTGAGTGAGTGAGTGAGTGAGTGAGTGAGTGAGTGAGTGAGTGAGTGAGTAGCGCAGGACAAGCTCATCAGCGTCCGTAGGCAAGGTCACCCTAGGTCTACACTGCTCACAAGTTACCCCAAAATGTACAGATAGGACTCTTTTAAACTTACACCAATACTAAACGGAGTGTTTACCTACAAGGAGACAAGGAGAGAGGGACACACACACACAGACACACGCTGGATGCTGAGTGGACAGCACGCTGGACACGTAATCCTGTGGACCGGGTTAGATTCCCGGCGCCGGCGAGAATCAAAATGTTTCAGAGTTTCTTTCACCCCTGATGCTCCTGTTACCTAGCAGTAAACAGGTACCTGGGAGTTAGACAGCTGTTAAGGGCTACTTAATTGTGGGGGGGGGGGAACAAATAATAGTAGTTAGTAACAGTTGATTAATTGACAGTTGAGAGGCGGGCCGAAAGAGAAGAGCTCAACCCCTACAAGGACAACTAGGTGAATACAACATACAACTAGGTGAATACAGACACATGCATGAGGGGAAGGGGGAGACAGGAGAGGGGGGGTTGGGGTGGCGTCTGTGGCCGATGATGTGTGATTGTGGAGACAAAAAACTAGTAGGAACAGTGGGTTGGGATACGAGGAGAGACCAAGCTGTTGGTGGTGGAAGAGGGTTTGCCTTAGACTGGTTACTGGTGGGGGACCAGACGTCTGGATAGGGACCAACTAACCCCTTACATCCTTTTACTCTCATCTATCCTCCTGTTATCCCAGCTGGCCAGAGAGGAGTGTCCAAGGTTTCCACCTCCCAGCACAGACACCCACTGTCAATAGGTGTGCTAAGAACGAACCCCTTCCTGTATCACCCCACCCCTAAGTCCACCCCACTCGTAGCCATACCCTTCCCCCTATCTCAACCCACACATCCCAACCAAGCCTCCTCCTATCCCAAGGTCCTGGGCGCTCCCCCAGGACCCCAATCCTAGGACCAACCCCTCTAACCCCTCCCCCCCCACCTACCACTATAATCATGTACCCGCCACCTCTCCCTCTTTCCTACCACCAAATAAGCAAGTGGCCTCGCCACAGCAACCGTCGCCACAGCAACCAGCACCAGTCAGGCCGCGCCTTGTCCTTCACAAGTTCAGATAAAAATGTTCCCTAGGCGTGCAACACGGAAAGTAGTTTTTCTGGTTTAATAACGCAAAATTCCTATTGCAACGCTTGTGCAATGCTGTGAGGAAAATGTTAATTCTCAGTGCTCAGGGTGCGTGGAGCGGAGATTACACACACTAGGTCTCCCTGGGTATCCGTGGATCTCTGTGGATCCACATGGGTCTCTGTGGGTCCACATGGGTCTCTGTGGGTCCACATGGGTCTCTGTGGGTTTACATGGGTCTCCGTGGGTCCACATGGATCCACAAGGGTCTCTGTGGGTCCACATGGATCCACAAGGGTCTCTGTGGGTCCACATGGATCTCCGTGGGTCCACAGGGTAAGGTTTCTGGCCGTTACCCACCACTGGAGTGTTGAGGTGCTGAAAAAGACTTACCTCACACAGCCATTCGTCCCTCCCCCCTGCACGACACGCCCATGACGCCATGTACACCCACGCGCCCAGGTACACCCACGCGCCCATGTACACCCACACGCCCATGTACACCAAGGCCACACTCCCCTACCCCTCAAAGACAAGCCCCGATTGATAGTGACTCAACCATTATTACGTCAGGCAGAATGTTAAGAGAGAATTCAACCGACCTGCTGCATCTCCCCCCTTATACCACCCCCTAATACACCTCCCTAAAACACGCCCCTATCGACAAACAGAGACGGGCACACAAAGGCTTAAATGATAGTGTTCTTAAGAGTCTTCAAATGTGATTAGACAAACTGTGGTGATAACTCATACTCATTCAGAGTCAAACGACAAGTTATTTTATCTGAATGCTCTTTATTCCTCTCTCCGAGGCTACGGGTCCCCACTATTGCACCAGAGGTAGAAACAGGCTAAACTCACCCCACCTTCCGTTGTACCCAAGAGCTGCCAGTTTCCTGCTCCAGCGCCTCAGTGTGGCGATGCAGAGGGGAAACGCCTATCCGGAAGCAGAGGAGCTCAAAGAAATCCACAACTTTTTTAACCTTCCGTTGTACTCCCCAATGTAAAACTTGTAAACCTTCAGTACCTAATAGAGTAAAACACAAAGAGAAGGGGGGGGGGGGGGGGTGGTAGGAGAAAATAACATGTAAAGTGCATTGCAGGAGACCCAAAAATCCCCTCTAATGCTTTGTGTGTGCTTTTCTCCGAGGCTACTGGTTCCCTTCTAACCAGAAGAGCGGAAAAAGGTTACCCCATATATTTTATAATGTATGTATGTTTGTATGAATGTACGTGTGTACTCACCTAGATGTGCTTGCGGGGGTTCAGCTTCGGCTGTTTGGTTCCACCTCTCAACTGATGTACGGATTCCTGAGCCTACTGGGCTCTGTCATATTTACATTTGAAACTGTGTATGGAGTCAGCCTCCACCACATCACTGCCTAGTGCATTCCATCTGTTAACTACTCTGACACTGAAAAAGTTTATTTTCTAACGT